GTAGACTATTTAACATTATCATGACGTTATCATAGTCAAAAATTCAATCATAGGTGACATGTCAATTATCATATATAACAATCCTCAATCGGATACCTGAAGGGGGCGCTATACCACTTTCAATCATGGTCATCTGGAAGGCATTGTTCTCAATTGCATCTCTCTCTCCTCTCTCTTGCTCTTTACTTCTCCTCTAATGTTCTGCCCCTCTCCTTTTTTGGTCTGTCTCTGCATCTATCTATCTCTCTTCTCTTTCACCCTCTCCCTCTCTCTCTCTCTCTTGCCTTGCGTCCCCCTTATTCTCTTGGTCTGTCTCCCTCTTGCCCTACAGTTGAAACTTGACTCATGGATAGACCATAATGGGAGTAGTAAACGAATTATGAAATCGTGAAAATGCGTTCTTCATTATGTTACACATGAGCATACGTATCACCTAATTCGTCAAAGTGACGAATTAAAGTCTAGTTAGGTGATACGTACGTAGACGTATCACCTTTTGATTTCGTCAAGATTTTTATTATTATTTATTTATTTATTTATTATTATTCTTCCTCGAATTTGTTCGCAGGATATCTCAAGACTGAACGAAGCCATTGTTATGAATCTTTCAATGATGATAGATCTTAGTCTAACTTAGAACTGCGTGACTTTTCAAAGACTCAAAGTCATCGTGACGTCATCCAGGCGCCATTTTGTGAATATCAACTAATGATCATATCTTTATAACGAATAATAATTTTTCATTCATATTTATCATGATTAAGATCAATATCCGTCCGGTCAAGTTGAGGTCAATAAACGTGCGTAAATACGCGCGTGCGCGCTCGTCCGCGCGTTTACGCGCGCGCAAAAATTAAAAATGCTCTAAATCATCCCAAATTTTTTTTGCATACGTTTCAGGCCATATGGAGCATTTGATAAAAAAATTACGCACACGCGCATGCGCGCGCGTTTTCGCGCGTACTGGCATTTTGCAACATAGAATCGCCGATTTTTTTCTGTCATCATATTTGGTACATTTTTCCAAGCATTTTGATAATTTGTTCACCTTTTTTTAACGCAATGAGCGTCCGTCAAAGTTGACAGCACGCGCGGATTTGCGTTATCTTTATCCACAATACATGGGCAAAAACATGCCTATATAAAATTCATTGTAACTCTTTAGAATAGATAGAAACTCCTAATATTTTGTCATATTTGGATAGATTATGAGTCGGAGATATGATTTCATGTCTCATTTGATCCTCAATTAACTCATGACGTCATCATAATGGCCTCCAAACTCAAAATTTTAATTTGCATATTATGACGTCAGCATATTTTTGGAAAATTGATTGTATCTCTGTAAATATGGATCAATTTTCTTTTTAATTTTGATATGTTCTAGCTGAGACAATTTTCTACAAATGTAATGTTCACAATTTTTATTTTTGACAAAAGTATCATGGTGTATTTTTGCGATTAAAGGAGGCATGTCAATTTTTCGCATTTTGCGTGTATTCTCTATGGGACATGACTTTTTCTCAAAACTGGATTCTACACTCCTGTCTTTCGCGAGCAAAATCTCCGTTGTTTTAGCTTCGTTTTCGCTGAGCTTCGGATATGTTGTAGCTGAGACAATTAGCTATCAAAAGTGTGCATTTTATTTTTCGATTAGATGCCGGGATCATGCTCATATTTCACTTGCAAAGTAGGATTTCTGAATTCCATTTCCTGTTAACGTGTAATCGCTATGGGAGATGTTTTGGTATATCGGTAACGCACTTGACTTCCAACCTCGAGATCCCTGGTTCGAGTTCGGGTGTCTCCAACACTTTTTTTTTCATTTTTTTTCCTTTTGACCTTCACTGTACCATCTCCTTTGATTATTTAAACACGTAGATTCGCAAATAATGTCATAAATAACCCTTTTTACTTTATTATTACCCTATTTTTACTTAATCCATTACTTTTTGCGTGTAATCCCTATGGGAAATGACTTTTTCTCAAATCTGGAGTCTACATTCCTGTCTTTTGCGAGCAATATCGCCGTTATTTCGGCTTGGATTTTGTTGATTTTTGAGTATGTTGTAGCTGAGACTATATGATATCTAAATCAACCCTCATTTTTTCAATAAGATGTCATGATCGCGCTCATGATCATGATCATGATCATGATCATCACGATCATCATTATCATAATGATGCTAATCATTTATCAATTACATTTTCATTTCTTTGAATAAGATAAAATCGTCAAAAGGTGTTCTTCATGATGTAAATTAGAGTCAAATGTGTAACTGGTTACTGCACAGGGTCAAAGGTCATATATTGTTTCAATCTATCTTCCCTAGTTCCATGATGATCAAGGAGACACAATTTAATCTTGACATATGAATAGATCATAATGGGAGAAGCATATGAATGGGAGAAGCAAAATAATATATCGTGTAATACATTATTCGTTATGTAAACCATTATCATACGTATCACCTAATTCGTCTAAGTGACGAATTAAAGTCTAGTTTATTTATTATTATTCTTCCTCGAATTTGTTCGCAGGATATCTCAAGACTGAATAAAGCCATTATCATGAAACTTGCCATGATGATAGATCTTAGTCTAACTTAGAACTGCGTGACTTTTCAAAGACTCAAAGTCATTATGACGTCATCCAGGCGCCATTTTGTGAAAATCAACTTATGATCATATCTTCATAACGGAAAGTAATTTTTCATTCATACTTATCATGAATAAGATCAATATTCGTCCGGTCAATTTCAGGTCAATAAACGTGCGCAAATGTGCGCGGGCGCGTTCGTCCGCGCGTTTACGCGCGCGCAAAAATTAAAAATGCTCTAAATCATCTCAAATTTTTTTTGCATACGTTTCAGGCCATATGGAGCATTTGACAAAAAAATCATGCACACGCGCATGCGCGCGCGTTTTTTGTGCGCACTAGCATTTTGTAACATAGAATTGCCAAATTTTCTATTTCAGCGTATTTGGCACATTTTTCCAAGCATTTTGATAATTTGTTCACCTTTTAATAACGCAATGAGCGTCCGTCAAAGTTGACAGCGCGCGCGGATCTGCGTTATCTTTATCCACAATATATGGGCAAAAACATACCTATACAAAATTCATTGTAACTCTTCAGAATAGATATGAACTCCCAATATGTTTTCATATGTTGATAGATCATGAGTTGGAGATATGATTTCATGTCTCATTTGATCCTCAATTAACTCATGATGTCATCATAATGGCCTCCGAACTCAAAATTTAAATTTGCATATTATGACGTTTGCATATTTTTGGAAAATTGATTGTATCTCTAAAAATATCGATTGTTTTTCTTTAGAATTTTGATATGTTGTAGCTGAGATAATATCCTACAAATATAGTGTACACAATTTTCCTGTTTGACAAAGGTATCATGGCGTATTTTTGCAATTAAAGGAGGCATGTCAATTTTTCACATTTTGCGTGTATTGTCTAAGGGACATGACTATTTCTCAAAACTGCATTCTACATTTCCGTCTTTCGCGAGCAACATCTCCGTTGTTTTGACTTTTTTTTCGGTGAGCTTCGAGTATGTTGTAGCTGAGACAATGAGCTATCTCCAATGTGTACTTCATTTTTCGATCATATGCCGGGATCATGCTCATATTTTACTTGCAAAGTGGGATTTTAGAATTCCATTTTCGTTTACGTGTAATCGCTATGGGAAATGTTTTGGTATATCGGTAACGCACTTGACTTCCGACCTTGAGATCCCGGGTTCGAGTCCGGGTGTCTCCCCAAAAAAAATTCTGAACTTTTTTTTTTCTTGTTGACCTTTCACTGTACCATCTCCTTTAATTATTCGAACACGTAGAATCGCAAATAATGTAATAAACAACCCTATTTACTTTATTGTTTCCCTATTTTCACTTAATCCATTACTTTTTGCGTGTAATCCCTGTGGGAGATAATTTTTTCTCAAATCTGGATTCTACATTCCTGTCTTTTGCGAGCAATATCGCCGTTATTTCTGCTTGGATTTTGTTGATTTTTGAGTATGCTGTAGCTAAGACTATGTGCTATCTAAATCACCCCTCATTTTGTCAATAAGATGTCAGGATCCCGCTCATGATTATGATCTTCATCATGATCATCATGATCATCATTATCATAATGATGATAATCATTTATCAATTACATTTTCATTTCTTTGAATAAGATAAAATCGTCAAAATGTTATCTTCATGATGTAAATTAGAGTCAAAGGTGTAACTGGTTACTGCGCAGGGTCAATGGTCATATTTTTTTCAATCTATCTTCCCTAGATCCATAATGATCAAGGGGACACAATTTAAACTTGACATATGGATAGATCTTAATGGATGAAGCATTTCATGAAATAATATGATATCGTGTAATGCATTCTTTATTATGTAAACCATTAGCATACGTATCACCTAATTCGTCAAAGTGACGAATTAAAGTCTAGTTTTTATTATTATTTTCACTTAAAGGCATAGAAAATCGCAACGCAACGTAGGTGAATGCTATATGACACCCCCTCACCGATTTCATCTTCTCGTTCTAACCATTTAGCTACTGATTTTCTTAGGTCCGTCTTCAACGATAGCATTTAAGTATCCTACTTCTTTGATGCAATTTTAGTTCAAAAGTGTTGCAGTATCCGGAATGATTTATTGAAGGTATTCTGTAACATTTTAATCTTACAAATATGGTCATGCACTTTAATTGTTATAGCTTACTTTATCATTCTATGCATGTAGATTATCGTTTTCAGTGAGGTCTCATCAGCTATCCCTTTACAAGAGAATGATTGGTATATCGTTTTTAGAGCACACATCACCCACATCCTCGATACGTTTATAATAAATTATTATGAACTTATTATGAATATCGTGGCTGGACTCTCCTAAATCAGTCTCAAGTCATACCCAGCAAAATATGACCTTCGGCCTCGCCACATTGCATAACCAGTATGAGAATGAGTATCTCACCATTAGCGCAGACAGCACCAGCGTCTTCGCTATGTCCACAATTATGAATCTCATATCCATTGTGGGAGCATTCAGTAAGGTCGTGTTCTGTCCCAAGGCAATCGACATCATCAAGAATGATGCTTCCAGAACCTTCACCGTATTCAGCGCCCGTTACTGCTCTCACTGCGTTCTGAAAGCCAAGCATTCTGCATACAACTCTGGCGTCGTCCAAGTCCCAGGCATCATTGCAAACTGTTCCCCAATAACCTTCAAAGAACACCTCAACGCGACCTTCTAAGGCGGTTTGTCCACCAACTAGACGAACTTGCAGACCTAGATCTAAATAAAAAAGATAAATAGTGGGGCGGGAGTTGTAGGTATTTAGTCTTAATTTACGAACCGTAATTAAGATGTATTAAGCTTTTCAGTATGGTTTTGTGCCATGACAGGAAACGTTTGCTTGTTATTGCTGAATTATCCATTACTTCATGTTTCATCACCCCTGAGATGTCTGACTTGTCTTACATTACAGGAATGAAGAAGGTCGCCATCCTTCAGAGCTTAGCCGGCTATTTACCACAATTTTTTTTTTGTATCCATATTTTCGAGAACAGGATGTTAATATCAACCTCCTCGTCAGAAATTGGATATAAATAGGTTTCAACATGCTGGTTAGAGCTCACCAATAACTACATTAAAGGTACTATGTCCCATTTGCAGGCCCAATAAAAAAAAAAGGGTTAAATTCCTACGGCATTTGAAAGATGACACTAATTTAGAACTTCCCTAAAAAAGGTGGGGCTTGAAAATGTCTTAAAGTGGGAAAATAACGACTATAACCTGTCAAATCGACCATTGTACCGAATGGTCATACGTGTTATGCTGCGCAAAGATTCAATCAGTTTGATTTTGGCCATCACAAGAAGTGGGTTATTGATGTAGACAAACTTAATGCTCGTGTATCCTTTACAGCACATTTTATGTATGTTTTTACCAAAAAAGAAAGAAAGCGAGTCAGTCACTCAATAGTGTCTGACAGTGAAGTCTATATAGCAAGTAAACGGGTTTCCTTGCATAATTTGAATATTAGGACACTGCTAACGACCAATTTCACAGATAGGACACACATGACATATTCATAATTCCTGCAAAGTTCTACAGAATTTGAGGTTGGCTGCAAAAGGGACATAGTACCTTTCACTGTAATGATAAACCGCTCCATAATCGCTGCGCTATTCTTTAAAAGTACACAGCAAAAGTTTCGAGTCCCACTTTTGGACTAACATCCTTTAGGTTAATTCAACAAATACATAACATTATTATTATTATTATTATTATTATTATAAAAAGGCATGGAAAGTCGTTGTGTAGGTTTACGACAGGCCCTCAACGATTTCATGTTCTCATTAGAACAATCCAGCTAATGATTTTTTTAAAGCTACGGTCACATAGGTTCGTACGAACGATGTGTTCTTACAAATATCCCTGCTCGTACGACATCAAGAGTTCGTATAGAGATTCGTAAATTTGGCATATCGTCTGACGTCTTTCACACGGAGTTCGTATGAACGCCGTTATTTTTTTCGTTTTTTTTTCTCGTAAGAATGCCTTGAGTTCTTCTTACGTCAGACTTACGGCAATCTTACGAGTTAATAGGGACTTTTAGATTTGCACAACGGAGAACATGGAATGCCCTTTTAAGGCAATGTGACGTCCTTTTAAGACACTGACAGTGACATCACATTACCTTAAAAGGGCAGTCCACGTTCTCCGTCTTGCAAATCTAAAAGTCCCTGTTGTTCTCGCAAGATGGCCGTACGTGTAACTGACGGCATTCTCAGGTCATTCGTATGAAGATCTTACGATTTGTGTGTATATTGTGTCGGGTTGCAAAAGAGCACTGTATAACTTGCATAAAATGTGTACGTACACTTTACGAGCACCTTACGAACGCCTGATATGAACGCAAGGAGACGTTCGTACGAAGGTGACACGAAAATCTGTTTGTAAGGCGTTCTTACGAACGCCGTAAGAGACCTGCATGAAAAATTTAAGGCTTTCGTACGATCGTCGTAAGAAATGTAAGGCTTCTAGAATTGTCTCTCGCCCTACGAAATGTCAAAGATCTTGCGTGGTTCTTAAGATTTTATTACGACGTTCGTGCGGCCATCTTACGAAGAGAGTGTTTCGTACGAGGTCAAAAAAATCTTGGACAAGACCATCGACTAGTCTGCGAACTACGAATGGTCTACGAACGCTGGTTTCGTACGGCCTTCTTAAGAAGATCTTATGAAATGGTCTGAAAATCGTTCGTACGGCGGTCTTAGCAGTTGCTATATATTTGTGACCCAGGCATTAGGTTTGACGTAAAGCTACGATCACAAATGTTCGAACGAACGATAAGTTCGTACGAATCTCCCTGTTTTTCCATTGTCTTACCGAATTTCCATTGTCTGAAAATCGTTCGTACGGCGTTCGTTATGGCATTTGTGAACGAGGCTTCAATGAAAGCAACTAAAGCCTCGGTCACAAATGCCTTTAAGAATTGCTACGAACGCCGTACGAACGATTTTCAGACAATGGAAATTCGGGAAGACAATGGAAAAACAGGGAGATTCGTACGAAATTATCGTTCGTACGAAACTTTGTGACCGTAGCGTAAGAGCTTATCATTCTACTTCTTTGATGTAACTTTAGTTCAAGGGAAATAACGTGGGCAGTGTCCAGAATGCATTTTATTTACATAACTGCAACGTTTTAATCTTTCAAATATGGCCATGCACTTTTAATTTATTATACTATGTATGTGGTTCATCATTTTGAGGTCTGATCGGCTAGATCTGATCAAGAGAATAATTGGTATACCGTTTTCAGACCAAACAACGCCCGAATTCACAAAGGAGGTTTGTCGACAAACTTAGGTTTATGTGCGTCACATGATGCGTTTCGACGCGCTTTTACAAACCTTGGTCTGTAAAAACGCGTCGAAACGCGTCATAAATTATGACGCATATAAACCTAGGTTTGTCGACAAACCTCCTTTGTGAATTCGGGCCATTGTGACTGCATTCTCCTAGATCAGTCCACTACTGTGGACATGATGCAAGAATAAGTTGCCTCTGCTTTCGCTATATTTTACATCACCAGTATGAGTGTAAGTATAATATATCACGGTTCTCACCATTAGCGCAGACAGCACCAGCGTCTTGGTCATGTCCACAATCATTATTCTCAAATCCCCTGTGGGGGCATTCAGCAAGATTGCGTTCTGTCCCAAGGCATCCGACATTATCAAGAATGATGCTTCCAGAACCTGGTCCGTATTCAGCGCTCGTGACTGCTGTCACTGCGATCTGAAAGCCAAGCATTCTGCATACAACTCTGGCGTCGTTCAAGTCCCAAAGATCATCGCAAACTGTTCCCCAAGAACCTTCAAAGAACACCTCAACACGACCTTCTAAGGCGGTTTGTCCACCAACTAGACGAACCTGCAGATCTGGATAATGAATACAAGAATAAATAAATTAATGGGGCGGGAGTTGTAGGTATTTAGTCTTATTGTACTAACCGCAGTAAACATGTTTTAAGCATTTCAATTGCAGGAAAATCTTGCCTGCTAAATTGCGTGAACTTATTGATTCATTCATTATCTCATTCTTCAATATGCCTTAAGATTTCTGACTTGTCTCATGAGCGAAGAAGGTCACCATCCTTGAGAGCTTAGCCGGCAATTAACCACCAAAAATTTGTGTTGTTTCTAAATTTTCGAGAGCACAAGTTCATATAAATAGGTTTCGACATGCCGGTTACAGCTCACCAATAACTTCATTAACTAAAAAGAGATTAGGTAGAAATTCATCCAGTGTTAGAGGACCGGAACGCCTTAAATGTGAAATTGAAGGAAAATCACAAATATGTTAACTAATGTATCACTATAAACTGGTAAGCTAACAGATCGATGGCCATCGTACAAGTTTTAGGTCAACTACATATCGGGTGATTTATAAAAAAAAATACAAATACAACCACCTCATAGCAGCTGGGATATACGAGAGATTCGCCGGAAAAATAAAGATGTTTTAATGACGTCACTATATGGACCAATACTGCTCAATCAAACGACATCCCATAAAGTAAACATAAAGACATTTGCAAAGCGCTATACATGAACTAGCTATTGTTATTATCATTATTATTATTATCATTATTATTTGTCAAATTATAATGAGTTTACTGTCTATAAATGTAATGGTATGTCAAACCATCAAACCATTCAAAAGAAGATATTACCCGATTCTGATAAATAAAATCTCTTGCTTGTAAATACACAGGATAGGGGCTGATTAACAATCAAAGAAACCAGACTTTCAAATTGAAAACCCTCCGGAATGATTAAGGACGGCATTTGTTCCCTCTTGAAACGCCGAACATACCGCGGTGTGTGCAGCGGAATATACAATGGCGTCTTATTTTGTTTACAAGCGACAGATTCCTTTATTTTTGTATCGCTCCATTTGTCATCAAAATAAAACCATACGCAGGGTTTAGAGTGAGGCAATAGATTATACATTAAGCCTGACGGTAGTGAAGTAAGAGAAAAAACTGAAGAGAAGATGAAAACTCAGGCACTGGAAATGTGTGATATGTCATGGGACATCGTCTGCTTGTGCAAATCATGTCCATACTGTGATCTAATACATCTCAGCAGCGTTCGGAGAGCTCTCCAGGTGCTATGCCGGGGCTTTTTTTAAGCGTTTTGTAATTTATAATAATCATTACTTCGAATGTTTCCAAGCATTGAATTTTGATAACCTTGTCGAATCAAAGTTTCAACTTTGCAATAATGAAAATAAAGTTAGTTTTTAAAGTCAATGAATATCTACTATAACTGGGCCGCTCGGATAATACCAGGGTGATTATTGTACAGCGCTAAAAATCATAAACATTGAAATCACCTAAATGTTAGTATTATTATTATTGTTATTATTAAAACGCATGAAAAGTCGTTGTGTAGGTTTATGACACGCCCTCAACGATTTTATCTTCTCGTTAGAAAAATTCAGCAACCGCCTGATTTTGTTTAGTTTTGACTTCAATGACAGCATCTAAGAGCTACGTATTCTAATTCTTTGATGCAACTATCGTTCCAAAGTGTGGCAGTGTTGGGAATAATTTCATGATTTATTGGCAGAATTTCCGCTCGTTTTAATCTTTTAAATGTGGCCATGCACTTGAATTGTTATAGTTTAATTTATTATACCATGCCTATAGTTCATCGATTTGATTGGGGTCTATTGTTAAAAGAAAATGATTGGTATACCGTTTTTAGAACACATAACGCCCGCATCCTCAGAATGTTGACAATCATGAACTTCGAACCCATTGTGACTGCACTCTCCTAGATCGGTCTCCAGTCCACTGCAGTGGACATTATCCAGGAAGATACTGCTTGATCCTTCGCCATATTTTGCATAACCAGTGGCAATCGATGCGTTCTCAAAGCCAAGCATTCTACAGACGACTGTTGCATCTTGGATGTCCCACCCGTCATCGCACACAGTACCCCAGACACCATCATGACGAACCTCTACTCGACCACTGTAGATGTCAGGTCCTCCAATTAGACGAACATCCAGACCAAAGGCACAGGGAACTTGTTAGACAAAAGAAAGAATGTTGAATCCATCTTGAAAAAGAGAGACTCTCAGTGCCTAGAATCAGTGGACTACGTTTGTTTCCCTTTCATGAATAATAATACCAATACTTATGTATACGTCTATTAAATATTATATTCCACATACTAAGAATCTTGCTCTACGATTGGTCAAAAGTAAATCACGTGATGAAAGATAGTTCGCCAATTATTGATTGGAGAAGCAAAAAAGTTCGTTACACTGTGTAGATATTACTACTATCTACACAGTGCAACACACTTTCACTGAAGAAAGAGGTACTATCTACACGGGACAACGCACTTTCAGTGAAAATTATCCAAAAGCGCACTAAAACAGGCGTAATTAAGCGCATTACCATTGAGTGCAATTAAAGAAAACACATGCGCGCACCGCACCCTCAAGGGGTTGGGTTAAACTTAAACTTTTTTGGTGTGAATTTGGGCCTAGGTGTCTTTCATGTAAATGCATACACGTCCTATTCTTTTTGTAGTTAAATCGTTTTAGATGTGGAATATAAAGCAAATAATCACCTTTTCGTTTCAGGCGATGGCAAACTATCACTTCCTCGTCGATCAGAATGTATACGCTATCTTTCCTCAGCTTCGCTTTGGAAAGATAGCTACATCCAGATCGCCTCGGAAGTGATAGTTTGTCCCATCACCTTCACCAACGGCAATTATTTGCTTACTATGACAACTGCCAAGACTATTACAACTTGTATAGGTACTACCTCTACTACTAGTACTACTACAACTACTACTACTACTACTACTACTACTTCTACTAATACTACTACTACAACTACAACTATTATTAATTTTATTATTATCATTAGTACTACTTTTAATTTGTTGATGCCTTATAATCCTCCCAGGCGCTTAAGATCATCCGCTTCTCAATTGATTGTTGTTCCGAAAACTAAGGATCATGGGGGATCGGTCATTTGCACACGCTGGACCTCACCTATGGAATCAATTGCCACAACATATTCGTTATATTTCAAGTGTAGATTGCTTTAAACATGCCCTCAAAACTCATTTGTTCAAAGCGGCTTTCCAGCAGATTTAAATTTACTTTCACATTGTTGTTGTTCATTTTGTGTGTATTTTTGTGTACTTTTTCTTCTCCATCCGCCTCGAACTCATTAGTCATGTGGAGTTGGCGCATTACAAATACTCTATATTATTATTATTATTACTATTATTGTTGTTAATATTATTATTATCTGTAATGAAAGTTGTTGGAAATGTGCCTATTTATCCTTTTATAACTTGAATGATCAAACCATGAAGAATTTCATGTGTGAAGGTCATATATTTTCCTTGAAGTCAAAGGTTAAAATTATGATTGACATGTACATGTAAAGTACTGGAACCTTAAGTTCTAAATTATGATAACGCAGTCAAGTGGTAAGAAGTGATAAGAAAAACATCTAGACTGAATATTGTTTTTTATACCAAACTTCCTTGTATCCAGAGCATCCAGAATTATGGGGCTTTTTTAAAGTCAACTCTGGAGGCAAAGAGGGTAGTTGAAACATTGATTCATCCATAATCATTAAATGTCAAATTATTAGCCTGAAAAAAAGTTCATTTAGTTTGGTCTTAGCTCAGCGAACATTGCACATAGACATAGGTAATACAGTAATGTAGGCAACTACTATCTGCATTAATGCATTGCACATGCTTGTTGTTGTTGTTGTTTATATTTCCGAAATCAGATACAAATATTATACATAGTAAAATATAGAAAATGAAATATTAATACATGTACATAGACAAAAATCGGTGGAAAGCCCAATATTAAAGCGACATAAAGCATAATAGAAACAAAACATAAATACAAGCTTTTAAAAATACCAAAGCAACAAAATTCTAAAATAACACACGCACACACACACACACACACACACACACAAAGATATGCAAAAGTCATTTGAGTTTAAGGAAGTGTGTTAAGAAAAATAATCAGTTATTAGGGTATGGAAGGATCTTAATGTAATTACAATTCGGATGTATTCTGGTAGTTGGTTATATTGTGTCGCCCCCCTAGAAGAATGTTCTTTTGCAATTTTATAGGGAGATCTAGATTTCGGGATGAGCGAAATAAATAATTATACGTGCGATATTTGATATTATTTGACATATAAGACGGAGTGTAATTATTTAATATTTTAAAAATCATAGTACATTTGTAACGGCAGTCTAGAAAGTCCGTATTTAGAGTATTATGTACATGTTGATAGGATGTATGAGAATAAGGATTTACTTTCATTATCACACGGCCCGCCCTGTTTTGAAAGTGAAAGGGAGGATTTAGTTGTGCGCGTAAATTGGCGTAGGGTCCAGGGGCTTTACCCCGGCGGGGATCAAGGGGCTGAGCCCCGGACGCTCATGGTTGTTAGGCATTAAAAAACGGTCAGATGAGCATCCAGGGACCCTCCTTAGGGCCGTTGGTGGGTTCCAGAGGGCAGAGCCCTTGAAGTTCAAAGGTTTAGGTATTTAATAACGGTCAGGTGAGCATCCAGTGACCCGCCTTAGGGCCGTTGGTAGGGTCCAGGGGGCAGAGCCCCCGGAAGCTCAGAGGTTTTAGGTATTTAATTACGGTCAAATGGGCATACAGGGCCCCTAGGGCCCACCTTAGGGCCCTTGTTGGGGTCCAGGGGGAGAGCCCCTGAAACCCAGGGGTTTTAGGTATTTAATTATTGTCAGATGATCATCCAGGGGCCCGCCTCAGGGCCCTTGGTGGGGTCCAGGGGGCAGATGAGCATATTTGATACCTGATTTGTGACACTGATTCAATACAGGTTTTATTCTTTTAATGTTCTTTTTGTTTACAAAATACAAACCATCTTTACTTCTTAAATGCATTTTTTGTTGTTGCTGGGGGGGGGGGGCAAAAATGCATTTTCCCCCACTTTTTTTGGTGGGGGAGAGCACTCCCTGCCCCCCCCCCCCTACTTCTAGCGCCTAAGCTTATGAGTGACCCTTTCATTGTATGTTGGGATTACAGGCTATATTGAGGAGTCGATGTTGAACGGATTCAATGTTAATCTACATTACTACTACTAGGCCTACTACTACTACTACTACTACTACTACTACTAACACTACTACTTCTACTCTTACAACTACTACTACTACTCATACATTGGGAAAAGTAATTTTCGATACAAAGTGATAATTATTGTTATCTTTCATTCATGAGTCAAGATTTAATTTTTCCGAGAAGGGATTAAAGAAATATTTTCGTGAGTGTGTCCGATTTATAGCTAACATTGTTAAACATTTTTTGCTTGAAGTGCACTTGAATTTTTATCCGAGTAAATCAAGGAACTCAATATCGGAAGTAGCTATATCCGAAATGAAACTAACCATCATAGATGTACTTCCAGTTTCAGGGACTCTATTATTTTCATCACCACATACCAGGCATACTCAGGGTAAAACAACATGGGGGCTCTGGACGAGAATGTTTCTGATTACCAAACGTTTGGGCAACCGTCATGGTGAATTTGGGACTGTAAGCCAGTTTTCTCGCCCCGGTTAGTCACAAGATAGCGAGTACAGTATTCGTATGTGCTTGCCCAACAAATTAGCAATATTTGTGTGCCAAACCCAAACCTGGTTGGTCAATCTCTCCTTTAAAATGGCACCTCCCCACTGTAGCTACGCCGTGTACTACTAACCGATTTAAAGAACGAAATACTGATGGTATGAAGGTGAGTAATTCTATTTTCTAGACGAATCAAAATCATTGTCTGCATTATATGTAGGTCAATCTTTCAGAGATCATGCAATAATGTGGGAAAATAGCTAGAGGATGAAATATTGCTAAATGGTTACACAGTTTTGTCAATGTGACGCACGTTGGGTTTATATTTACATTAACATCTGTGATAAACAAAACCATTTGTTAAAAGGAATATACACGTATTTATTTGATCGTTAATTCGATACATAATAGCTTTAATTAATCAATAGGCTATAACCTTACATTATACCAAATATTGAGGAATCAAGACTAACTAACAAAAGTAATCAACAGTTAAAAGTAGTTGTATTGCTCGTTAATAAATCTGACTTCGATTTAATAGAACTCCTGTAATAAACAAATCTGCCCGTATGATAAATCAAATCAAACCCAATCAGCTCACGTATATGACTGATAGCTGACATACTTTCATAACCAAAACTCTCACTAAAACTTACTTCTCATGCTCAGGGCGATTATAATCACCACGGGATAAAACTCCAAGGCCTTCATCCTCATCCTCATCAAAATCCAGATCAGATCAGATGCCGAATGACTGATTAAAAAAAAGAAAGATTATAAGACATCTACCGAAAGGTCGAGTTCGATGTTTATCAGCCCATCAAAGCAAGGATGTGAATGCAAGACTCGACTAAATATATTGTAGTCTTTATTTCCTCAATCGAGTTCAACGCGTTATAATAATCTGGAGGAATGGGAAATTATCAAACTGCCAAACCACTTAAGATATACTTATGGGTAATAATACTGCGCATGCTCTACACTCAAAACAAAATATGAGGAAAGAAACTTTGACATTGTATCGTATTCTGCACAGACAGACTCATTACAACAACAAAATCAAAACACAGAGCCATAGTAGATTTACAACAACATGTACTCGGGTCAATATGGGGTTCGGCCCAAATATTGCAACAAATGGTTTTACAACGATTTCGGTAGTGTTTGACATCAGGAACACAAACTAAATATCTAAGAAAATCGAACCCCCGAAAATTGTTTTTCTTTTTCCTTCAAAATGGCGTCTAAGTTGGCCGCTAATACTTTTAATTAGCGACAAATCGTGATACATCTATCTTAGTGATGGTATTTTAGTGTCTATGCCTTGGCTCTGGGGTTGAAGAATCCATTCATACTACTTAAATGGGTTATGGCCATCAGGACACCTAGAAATCCAAGATGGCGCCCAAGATGGCCATTCAATCATGATCTATCCATATATATATTATATATGTGTGTGTGTGTGTGTGTGTGTGTGTGTGTGTGCGTGTTTCAATTCCACCCCCCCCCCCCATCCTCCTTGATGTAAGAACCATTTCATATGTTGCTAGATTGGTTTCGGTTATCCAGCGTTGAACTAAAACAAATCAAACAAACAACGAAATAAACAATAGACATAGGACACAAGTTGAAGGAAAATAAATTATAAATTCAGAGTATGTGAAATTACATGTAATTGGTAAAAAAGGAGAGAGAGAGAGAGAGGGGGGAGAGATAGGGAAAGAAGAAAAGGGAGAGTTGCGGAGAGGAAGAGACGGAAAAATTGTGTAGAGGGATAAAGAGAGACAGAGAGACAGAGAGAGACAGAGAGAGAGAGAGAGAGAGAGGGGGAGCTTTAGGATCTAACTACCTTTCATGTAAATGTACTTTTTAAATCGTAAGAGTCTTTTAGTTTCTGAAGAAACTTGCAAGCTAACAGATGCACACATCTAAATAAGCATAGTTTTCCCTTTAAAAGCAGGAGAAGGGGAGGCTACACTGCGAAAAAGTTGGGCAATATTTTCCCGACACGTTGCCCAACGTTGTGCCAATAGTCAACCCAACCATCTATTGGGCAATATTTTGCCCAGTGGTATTGGTAAACATAAGTACCCTACTTCACACGTGCATAATTGTTTCGTATTTTGACCAAAATTTGGGCAAAGATATGACCCTTCAACTGCACGACTACGGTATCCCACTTGTTGGGAAAATCTCGACCAGCTGTTGGGCAAAATACGAAAATATTGCCCAATAGATGGTTGGGTTGACTATTGGCACAACGTTGGGCAAAGTGTTGCAAAATATTGCCCAACTTTTTCACAGTGAATCTCTTGCAAAACAATTGCATTATGAAAGTCTTACTAAAAGGGAAAATGAAGTGAAGAGGAAGAGAGAGAGAGAGGAAAAAAAAAAGAGGGAGCATTAGGATCGTACTATTTACATCTAAATGTATGTTTTACATCGTAAAAGTCTTTAAGTTTTTGAAGAAATGTTCATATCAACCTTGCATGCTATCCTACTTCCACTCCAGTCCCACTCACTACACCCTCAACCATCCTAAACTAACCCACAGCGTTAGGCCTACTCCACCCTACCCACACTCGCGGCTACCCCTCACATTACACTCACCCTCCCACTGTCTTCCTCCATACACCCCACATCGGTTCAAAGGCCAGGAAACGCATACATCGTAAGCAAAACAAGGAACTTGGCGTTGTGTTCAATTTATTGCAAAGGTGTCCATGGGAAAATCACAAATTCTATAAATAAAAATCTTTACATAAATATATGATATGATATAACGTTGTACATACTATGTGCAAACATTAAAACAATGACCTGCCTATATGATAACCAAGTTACAAATGAAACAAAGTTTTGGCTTATATAGATATTGAGTTTTCATTTAATACTGTAAAACCAATTCGACAATTTTTAACGTTAACAAATTTGAGCAATCCACTTTTAACAAAAGCTCATCATTCCTTGAAATGTAGCTTCCATGCATCATATTTGTTCACAAGATACAAACCTGTACGTATCGCATTATATACATGTAGAATATTGTGCTCTAAACATGCCTGTGCGTGATCAAAATTATCATATCAATATCTGTTTAAATATTTATTTTCTTTAACCTCCCCACCCGTTCACATAATGCAGATTTGAAAATCTAAGCTGTAACCAAAATTTTGCGAATTCAAAGAATTTGTCACTCTGTCCTGATTTCTATTCAACCTTTAATTACTCTGATGTGTATATGTTTTATGTACATTGATTTTAGTGAGAATGAAAGGGGGGTTGGGGGTTGAACCCCCCCCCCCCCCCCTTGGTTGGATTTTTTAAAAATTATTATTATTAAAAAAAAATAGATAAAAAAAGAGAGTGATAATTGGTGACCCAAAGAGCAGACCTTGCCCCCCCCCCCATAAAGATCGGACAATTTTTCAAATTTTGGGACAATTTTTGTTATAAATATGACCTCTTACCCCCCCCCCCCTTGAAAAAAAATCCTGCGTACGCTACTGAACAATGTTACCAAGTCCCTTTAATATACTTGGCAACCATTTATTAAGACTGTAAGTTTTCATAGTAGGCTGATTTCGAAGGTACTTCTTCTTTAAAGCCCCTCTGCATTTCTTATAGCAGGTGGATTATACCTCCCTGCATGGTCAGTGACAGGTGGTTATGTTATCAAATCAGCTCTCAATAAACATAAAGGGGACCATGAGGAACCATGTTTGCCATATAGAGGGCGCAAATAGCTATAAGTAGGGCAGTGGGGCTCTAATTAAGCCATGAACACCACTGGCCGTGCATATTATGTTTGATTGATTTTATTTCTGCGTTAAAATAACAAATATAGGATTTCCCGGCCAAATTTGCCAGTTTGTCATTCAAATTAATTTGTTTTGCGTTCAAATTCGACGGTTTTAGTGCAGTCAGGTATATCTCGGGTTTATATTTCCCTCCCACTGTCTTCCTCCATACACCCCACATGGGTTGAGAAGCCAGGAAATACATACATCAGAAACAAAACAAGGAACTTGGCGTTGTGTTCAATGTATTGCAAAGGTGCGTTGTGTTCAATTTATTGCAAAGGTGCCATGGTAAAATCACAAATTCTATCAATAAAAATCTTTATATAAATATATGATATGATATTACGTTGTACATACTATGTGGGGGGTTTTAGAGAAATTTAGGGGGGGGGGGGTTTACACACAAAAATTACCAAAGGGGGGGTTTAACCCCCCAAACACCCCCCCCCCCCCCCCCCTGTACGCGCCTGGTTCACATAATGCAGATTTTAAAATCCAAGGTGTAACCAAAATTTTGCGAATTCAAAGAATTTGTCACTATTCAACCTTTTATTACTTTGATGTGTATATGTTTTATGTACGTTGATTTTAGTGAGAATGAAATAAAGACTGATCTAAACTGAAATGAACAGAGCAATCACCTGCATCTTCGCACATGACTCCTATATCCTGACTATGTGGACAGCTATTTAAAAGATGTGAAGGAACAGTCAATCGGGATAATGCCGGGGTAAATGTTGTACTTCACTTCGAAACATAAGTATTAACCGCTAAACGTCTTGCTATTATTATTCTTATTATCATTAAAAGGCACGGGAAGATGTTGTGTAGGCAGGCGCGTACACAGGGGGGGGGGGGGTTGGGGGTTGAACCCCCCCCCCCCCCTTGGTTGGATTTTTTAAAAATTATTATTATTAAAAAAAAAAAAAAAAAAAAAAAGAGAGTGATAATTGGTGACCCAAAGAGCAGACCTTGCCCCCCCCCATGACGATCGGACAAATTTTCAAATTTTGGGACAATTTGTTTTCATAAATATGACCTCTTCCCCCCCCCCCCTTGAAAAAAATCCTGCGTACGCTACTATGTGTAGGTGTATGCTATATGCATGACACGCCCTCAACAATGTTATATTCTCGTTCTAACCATTAGGATACTACTGATTATCTTGAATTATTAGTTGTTAACTGTATATTATACATTCTACATGTCATATCATACATTATATATGTACATAAATTCACCTGACCGTCTGGACAAAACTGTCCGATTTGAACTCGTACGGGACTCCCGCTTGGTTCCTCCACTTAATGATAATAATAATCCACAACATTCATAAGAGGTTTAATATGGATGTCTCTAAGCGCAACATTGTCTGACTAAAAATTATTAACCAAAACTTATAATAAACATACAAATTATGAATCTGTTCTTTATTCAATAAATCATGCATATATATAATAATAATAATATAAATGAGATCAAACATATTAAAGGTCAAACATGAGATCAAACAAACAAGGAATAATACGGTGTGCACCTCCTTTGACCGACTGCAGAATATCATTCATGAATTAAAAGGGTACGTTTTCAGCAAGGACTTAAATTGGTGATTTTAATGATTCCAAAAGATGCAGATTTACAGACGTTTTTAATATGCTGCTGAAATATAAGATGTTGTCGATTAAAACACCAAGGTCTAATACGTATTCACTACCCTTCAGTGAATCATCTCCGGTAACCAAGTCGGGGAAGGAATCGATGTTTCTGAATTTGGAAGTAATGTGGATCATTTTAGATTTTCGTTCATTAAGGCAAAGTCTATTGTTAAAAGACCAGAACCTAATGTCTTCAAGGCAACTGCTAAGTTTCCGAGTCGCATCGTACTTCCCGACTGAGAAGCGGAGCTTCACCTTGTTTTTCAAAAGTTCCTGTATATACATGCCCTACATGCTGAATTGCTGTGTTCCACCTTCTCTTCTCGATGAGGGCTTCATGTGTCAGATCTTCAGTCATGTAATATAGGATTTCCCGGCCAAATTCGCGAGTTTGTCATTCAAATTAATTTGTCTTGCGTTCGAATT